ATGACTAAAGGAGAGGCAGGAGGTGAAGAACTGAGTTGGCTGATCTATGAAAATGGGTCACATCAGGCAAATCTTGAGTACTTAAAAATGCGGCATCTGCCGAGAGGGCACTATTAACTTCCATACACAATGTCCAGCAACATAGGTACATATCAGAACACAACTGAAGAGAAGATAGTGCACCTTTTAAAGTAAATACGGTACAAATCAAAACCACAGTAAAACACAACACTGATTTTTTTCCATATGTGCAGACTAGATCGAGACACTGACAAATGCTTGTAAGGAGAGCAAGCTGTTCGTTCATCTTGCAGTTAGAATTACGTGCACCATTGTCTGGTATAACATGAACAACTATCTCAGATCATTAGGATATATGGTGTTAGACTACTCAGCTTATTCTATTCCTCTGATATATGGAACTGAGCCAAATGAAAACAATGGTTATGGTATTCTGATCCACATTTAGATTCAAAAACAATCGTGCAGGGTTGCAACCTTTAAAATGGAATGAGCTGCACTTTGGACGTGTTTGAAATCACGAGAAGTAGAATTCATATTTTTTATTACCGCTCAGAGGGAACGGGTATACTTCCCATGCAACCAATACCTGCAGCTGAGGGTCTTTTTTCCTTGCTGTTTATCATTCAAGAGGGAAGATCCATCTCAGCTATAAATAAATCAGTTACCGTAATGTATGAAATAAATGCCTACTTCCAACCTAACCAGATATAATAGGCATTCTGTTTATATACTACAATAAAATACAAAGGACCAAACCTCTCACATGACAATAGTTAATCTATCATGCTCATTGTTTTTGAGCATTATAGTGTTATGGTGATAGAGGCACTCATTTTGGAAGAAGAAGCAATTGTGTCAATTACGGTACCATAATCTCAGTCAGGGACGTACACTTTTTGAAAACAGTTTTTAGTACATGTTTCGGAAGTAAATAGTTCTCGATATGATCTGGGATTAACACAGCAGAACCAGAAAACAGTGAGAGATTTCACTCAGGAAGGAACGAGTGTATTTTCCACAATGGGTGCAGGATTAATCAGTATATATAGACGAAACAACAACAGAAATTTCGCAGAAAACAATAGATAATGGTTGCTGATGTTAGCTGGTTGTGAAAGGAAAAGCATGTTGAATTGACACACACTTTGGGGATATGACTGGGTGGAATAGGTCCACATACATGTTGATAATTGCTCACGATGTAAACCTCTGGTTTGCCTTGTCCTCCATTATTTACAGCCTGGCGTGACACAGAGAGTTGGGTTTCATGACACTTTCAGCAACATTCCAGCAGTATCATGTAGTGTTGGGAATTGGTTAAACTCTCATAATTGATGATTGGTTTATTACAACCGATCAATCATCGAAAAAAATTGGTTAGAGTCATTAATGAAATTTGTTAATGCACATAAAAATAAGGAAAATACAAGTAGTTCTTTTGGTTTTTTGGCAAAATTTCACATCTTTAAAGGATGACTAGTATGTCAGGAACATAAATTTCTTGGAGTCTTTAAGATAAATTCAATCATGACTTGAAACAAGCTTGTAGTGCTTATGAAATGTAACAGACAAAACCAACCTTGTGAAAAATATTGTTTATGAAAACAAGTGTTCCAGAATTGTTTGTGTTCGATTATGAGAAAACATGATCGATTGCTTGGTCGTTTAGTCACTGCGACCAATCTTCGATTATTTCAATTAATCGGACCACCACTAATATCATGATGGTGCACACCAGAAATGGGCTTTAGACAGTGTACCCATGTCGGCAATCAAACTCGGGCCTAGGGCTTGATGAGCGAACACTTTAACAACTGGGCTACCCCACCAGCATTGGTTGGACACAAATGTATTTTTCACAGGATGCCACTTTTACTCACTCATTTACACACTGTAAATCATATGGTAAACAATGTATGGAAATATGACCCCTGACACTGTCAGGGAGAGGTTATGTTTCCTGTACATGTCAGGTATATGATGTATAACAGTAATCTGACCAACAAGCACTGATGCACTGAATCGTAAATGGCTACATGCACACTGACACTCATCAGAAAAAAAATCGCAATTTTCATCCCATGAATGCTGATCTTTGGACTATCACTTAGTCTCTGAACATATATAATTTTGACAGTAACAAATAACCCCACTTAAATTGAAAAGGAGCCCCAGTCAGATAGGAAATTGAGGAAATCTAGACTTGCTTCATTTAGGGCTTTAGCACTGCATGGATGGCTAGGCAGTAGGGAAAATAAGGTGATTCAGGGACTGTGAGACAGACTAGCAGGGGTGGAAATAACTTTAAAATTGCTAGTGTACTCCGGAACAGTGGCACATGTAAAATCACTTGCCCTGATAATTTTTCCACTATACCGGACGTTTTCTTGTTGATTTTTTACAATAAACAACATAAATAACATTGAAAGTCAACTGGACACCGGTACAGTGTGATATACAAATTGCTTGCCCGACAGAAAAAAACACTGGACTCGGGACGTCGGGCAATGGGTTATTTCCACCCCTAACTAGCCAATCTTGTGTTTTGTTGTTTGTTGTGTAATGCCACACTCCAGCCACATGACAGAGGTCAGTAAATAATCAAGGGGTGGTGAGGTAGCCTTGTGGTTAAAGCGTTCGCTCGTCATGCTGAAGACCAAGGTTCGATTCCCCACATGGGTTCAATGTGTGAAGCCCATTTCTGGTGACCCCACCGTGATATTGATGGAATATTGCTAAAAGCAGCGTAAAACTAAGCTCATTCACTCACAAAATACAAATAATAAACTGTAATAGAAAACGTTATAAATCAGTGCAACTGTGTTAGGCTTTAATGTGCTTGACTCTGCGTCCACTGAACTGATCTGGACCGGTTTTGTTAAAAAATACTTTAAGCTGTCATAAACATGTAACACAAATGTAACATCACAGCTTGTCAAAAAGATATTATAATCAGCTATGTGAATAGATTTCAGACTGAATTATATTTCCACAGTGCTACAGATAACATTTTGGGTCATGGAGTTACGTACTCGCTTGTGTTCATCTCAATTGGGTATTCTAATTTTCCTTTGAATCACCAAATAAATTGTACTCTCCTCACTCAAACTCAATTGGGTATTTTGCCATTTTCCATTAATTTTAAAAATACAATAATGCTAGTGTTTGTTATTTATATTTGATCTGTAATATGAGAAACGATAAGAAAGACTGCAAGTTGTCAAGTTCATGTCCTGAAATACAATCTCTCAATATACGATTTGACATTTATGTGTGTACGCATGTAAAATTACATTTATTGAGCATTTACAAAAATTCAAGCGTACTTGTACGCAATAAACTTAATAGGAATTGAGTTTTTACATAAATATTTGAGTAATTTACGCAGATATGCAGCTTATTTGTACCTCTGTTTCCACATGCATTGAAAAATATCATTGTTTATACTACTCCATACTTTTTCTACAGTATTTAAAAAACATGACATTGATTTATACACAAAATCTGAATGTTGTTTTGGGATGTATTTTATTGACATCAATGTGTCATTGTGTCAAGGCTACCACATTTCCTGGATTAAATGCTTCAACCACGATATAATGCTTAGCCTCCATAAAATGCGGATTAGTTTTTAAGCACAAAATTCTCCCTGCCATATTGTTGGCAATTAGATACTAGGGTTTAAGGGTATATGGCATAGATATAGGTGTGTTCAGTCCCAAAACAAATCTCAAGTCCAAATTTAAAAATACAAAATTCATATTAATTCTTAGAGAGTAATAAGACCTTTTTATCACCACATGAAAAGTATAACATTTCACTGTTCATATTTTTATATGAACATGATAAAAGGGATTCAATACTTGACATGATAAACAGAAATCCTTTTGACACAACAAAACCGAATCCTTCCATGCTATACTATAGGAAACGTAAATAATCTATAAAGTCAATGCATAACAATTATGATACACTGTATATACTTGAACAAGACATTGTTCTCCTCATATATGGTATTATAACAAGCATATTACATATCATGGCAGTAATATATTTATTTTTAACACATTGTTCAATTAATAATTAATATTTGAATACATTGTGTACATTTATGTCACATAGCACAGTGAAAGGAAACATTTTAATATGTTACTACAATATTATTATCTCAAAAAAAAACCTTTTATTTTCTCTCCTAAAACAGGTTATCATACAATATTTTTGCCATTGTAAATATTAGCATTTTTATTTTTATCAGTTTCCCAATTCGTCAAATACGAATGTGAATATTTTATGTATTTTTAAAAACAGACAAGAAATATATATTGAATATTTAGGGAGTGAGATTCGAAATGCTGAGAAAACATATCAGGAAGTGTTAATGCTTGAACTGTCAACGCCTGAATAACCTAATAAAAGTCTATTGTGTTCGACAATCACAACAAACCAAGGTATGGTATAAACCGATATATTTCCATACAGGTACACAGCGGTAACAATTAAAGGGCGCTACGTTTGAAATTGCAATTAAAGGTGTATATTGAGATGACGGACGGAAACGAGAGGGAGTGACACGCCTACAGGTTGCAATACACATCCTCGCATTCCAAATGTCACACTCGAGAGCAGTGAATCACCACGTTAAAATTCCGGAATTCCGACGACGCATTTTGAACTTTTACCTGTTACGCTTGATCTTAAAAACGTTGTAAAAACCCACCCTCTGTGCCTTGCGCATAGAGAACGGGTGAAAATACTCGAATCTAGCATGGCAAGACTTTACAGCCATCTATGTTGGCCAGCTCAAGGTCGCCATTTTGGATTATTGTTGACGCGAAAATCGTGTCACCTGTAGACGCAGGTACCAGGTGCGCTAAGGTGTACAATTAACGTTCAAATGCACTCACAAACATGGACGTTATGATCATTTAACACTCACATATTGTCGGTAAATTCTTATATTATGCACCACTTACCTCATCTGGTTGACTTAATTCGAAAATGTCGTAATGATCTATATTCCACATAGAAATAAGTTTTACGAGATGTTGCTTCTCCGCTCTTTTATCCATTTGAGCCATTTTGCCGGCTCGGAATCCTCCAACGGAATTAAAATCCACGTTATTTTGATTATTTCGGTCACATTTGCACTTCTACTTGTCACGGACACGACTCTCCCAATGTATAGTATCCAATTGTCAAGTTTGTACCTCGGTCGTTCGCTCGCTTCAACTTCTAATACAATCCCCAACGGCCTGAGAACTATCAAGCGTACAACGCATGCGCAGAATCGATTTGCTTTTACCGTATTGTTTGTTCTAAATTTATCCAATGACTTGAGCGCTTCTGTTAATGGATTGAACGAAATCCCACCAGGCGTTAATTGTTCTCGGTCTCTTACTACACATGTAGTACTTAATCGTGTTGTGTTAGCTTTACACTCTTTATTGACTAACAAGCTCAAACGATCATAAACTAGCCTCCAGTTTACGCATCAACGAACTGGAAAGTCATTTTACCAACAATTACTAACCTATTGACACAGGGATTTTCAAACCTGTTCATAGCATAGCTCGTTCAACAATAAATATTCTATCCAATACAACGACGACAACAACGAAACAGTCTATAGGTGAAGACAATTTTAATTGTCATCTTCTACGGGGGAGAGAGGGGGTGCATATTACGGTAAATACACCTGTATATTCACGCATATAGAGTAATATACAAGTAGATCACTGTATATGGAAGCGCACTCAGCCAGGGAATACTCTTATAAAGTACTCGGCGTGGGAAAATGTCGCTTTCTGTCATAGTATGAATGCATTCAATTTAAATATGTTCTTGCTATGAATGTCACTGAAGTATTAAACTAGAATGTATATATACACTGTCGTTTTGGTTCTTGATACTGCGGTTGAAGTATAAAGCGGTGTTTGCAAAGTCTCCTTTTTGTAAACAATTTTCAACAAGCTGTGAGGCTGAATTCGTCAATCTGTATACAATGTTTCTATAGAGTTAGAGGATGCTTAAATATACCAAATACATTATGATGTACTTACATTGTGGGAAGGTGGGAGCCTTGCAGAGAATGCTCAATTTTGTTTCATACGAATGCGCCTCGTTGTAATTCTTTTAACATTTGCTATATTTCGTAATAAAAATATTTCGTAATAAAATGACGAAAAAGGAAAGTATACATCAATAGTGGATAGTGGCTAAAAGAAAACAAATGGTTATTCGATATTGATGTACATGTATTTGGTGTATTCCATACGGTACTGTAGTGAGTGAGTTTAGTTTTACGCCGCCTTTAGCAATGGTGTGGGGGGCACCAGAAATGGGCATCACACATTGTACCCATGATGGGAATCGAATCCGAGTCCTCAGCATGGTGAGCGGACGCTTTAATCACTAGGCTACCCCACCGCCCCCGGTACTAGGTTGTAGTTGTCTATACTGGGGCCCGATCCACATAACGTTCGTAGAGACACGACATTCGTAAGCCTATGAGAAAGTATAGAGTTGCCACAGGTCGTAATCAACCGTTTTCAGAAAAGTTAAGCTTTCATAACGCTTGTAATATTTTTGTCAGAGTTTTAAGATGTTTTTTTTTCACTTTAGCTTGTCATTTTGAGAAATCATTTGATGGGTTTACAATATTTTGAAAGGTAGAATATTTGATAAAAAACACTGACCAAATGACGAAGCAACTTGTGAAAATGATAAGCATCGTTGAAGCAATAACGTGCCAACACGTTTTATCTGGTTATACATATTATTTTTTTTAACACGACAATGCTAAGCTCGTAATCATATGTTACTGGCGTCGATAAATACCATCCTTGATATGATGTGATCGCAAGTTGATTGCGTAAGTGCAGATTGACGTTTAGTCTCTGAATTTAAGATATATAATTTTCACTGAAAAAAAAAACTTCATTGAAATTTAAAAGGAGCCCTGTCACATTGTTGAGCCTTAACCTGAGGAAAATCTCGACTTGCTTCATGTAAGTCTTTTGTATAACAGGCATGTATTGTCGGAAGGGCAATTAGTATGGTTCTATGACTATAATAGAGACTCGAAAAATTGTAATGATATATCCTTCCACGGAAGAACATTAAAAGATATTATTGCAAATCTGAGCCACTTAAGTCGTCATATAGCTGGAATAAAGCTTAGTTTGACGTTAAACAAAACAAAACGATATTGGCTAACTTTCAGACCCCCACCGTGCCACTGGAGTACACACAATTACAAAACAAAACAAAACAAAACAAAAATCTGACAATTCTCACAACAAAGCCAGAGTGTCATGAGACACAAAAGTTATTACATTACCTCTTGTTTTTTTTATTTTAATGTTTCTATCTTAACCCTAAATGAACATTAAAAATGTTGTGTGCATCAAAGTGTGTAGCTATTGTTGTACATGTCTTAGCAACATATACACATATAATGTATTCAGTTTTCAGGAAATAGTGTAGAGAAATACATATACACATATAATGTATTCAGTTTTCTGGAAATAGTGTAGAGGATTTATAAACAGTAAATGGAAGGAAAACCAGAAGGCATGAAAGCTGGCAAAGTTACAATTTGAATATGCAATGAACGTTGAAGTTTCGTAATATCTTACTACTATTATTTTTGTTTTGTTTTGAAAGGTTAAATTTATAAAGGAGAGATTTTATAATCACGATAACAAGATTCAAAGGGTTATTATGTTTACCCTTAAAGACAAACAATATGTGTTCTTCACTGAAGGTAATTCTGCCTTCTGTATATTTTCCAATCCATTCTAATAGCTTTTCCTATGTATCAACAGAATATAAACATAACATATGTGAAATTGTTTCATCTGGTTCGTTAAATAAGGTACACGGTGCTGATGGTGCATAATCAAACTTAAATAGATTACCGTTTGTACTCAAGATGTTGAGTAAAACTTTCAACTGAAACTACCTTAATTCACTACCTCATGTTTTTTTATGTTATTTTACCAAATGTACGGTAATCACGTCTCCGAGTGGTAGTACAGCTTGTAAAGATCATTGTACGACTGCTTCACTTACTTTGTACGTCATTGATGTGGACACTTTACTACTTTTGCTAGGTTCACACTGTCGTGCGATCCGTTACAAACACCACGATTATTGGCCATTCGTAGCTGATCGAGGAACTTCTCTGAAATTTCGGGTTTGGATACGAGGTGATGCGAGTCAATACGTTCTGAGACGATTTGTTGCGCTTGGAGGCGATATTGTCACGATTGGTTAATTTAAGGTGACACTGTCACGATCTGGTCTCCCGTTCAAATACGATCACATACGTTCTGATAGCATTGTCCCGATCGAGTCCACGTTTGGGTCGCGATCTGCCACGATCATCACGATCGAGGCGACCGATTTGGGACGATCTGGTACGTGTATAGGTACGTACCGATACGTTCATCACGAACCGATGCGCTCGGTTGCGATAGGATACGATTGTGGTCGCGATGTCTTTCACGATCACCATCGAGGATGATCACGATTTGAGCTACGATTGGACCCCGACGGGAATATATACAGCCCGACTGACCATGGATGTGATTGTTTCTGGAACTGGAGTGAACACTACAACCCACAGCCATTGATGATGGCAGGAGTTGAGGATGATGACAACGTGACACTTGCAGTGTTACTGCTTACATTGTCGCCAGAGAGGAAGAAGACGAGCACCAGCCAGACCAGCTACAGTTCCAACCACAAAGGGCCAGGAGAGTTTCAGTCTGGCACTTCTGGGTGCGACCATGTCTCACAGAGAAGAGGAGACACCAGTTTGGTCAGTTTTCCAGCCTCCTAAACACCTATTTGAGGCTGGAGGATCCAGTAGCGTTCCAAAACTACACATGGTTAACACCACAGCTCTTCGATGGCAAACACATTACCATCAAGAAATGACCCCAAACTGGCAGCCTGTACTTCAATTACAAGCGCTTCTTTTCGATACCACTCCTAGCTCTGGTGGATGCAGATAACAAGATTGTGTGGATCGAGCTTGGTGGAAAAGGACACATGTCAGACTCGGAGCTCGGAAGAGGAAGACCTAGAACTCCTCCCCACCCTGCCCTCTGACTGCAAACCCTCATGACCACCAAGGCATGCCCTTCTTCACCCTGAGGGATGACTCAGGAACTACCTCACGAAGCCATACAGCAGAATAAGGATGTCCAGAAGGAGATGATTTTCAACTGCAGACTCTCCAGGGAAGGAGAGTGGTGGAAAATGGCTTTGGGATCCTGGCCAATAGATTCAGATGTCTCCTCAGGACTCAAGAGCAGAATCGTGCTTGAGAATATTTCGCTCATATGACGACGTGCATGCGCGTATGTGTGTATGTGCGGCTGCTTGTACTAGCCCCGACTTAAGCTGGTTTTATAGTGCTAGCCCACTGAGATACCATGCCGCAGTGAAGCATGAATACCCCACTTAGACACATTATACTGACTCCGAGCCGACCAGTCCTTGTTGTACCCATTAATGCCGAGCGCCAGGCAGGGACCAACAAGTACCATATTTTAACGTCTTTTGGTATGACGCGGTCGGGGATCGAACCCGCGACCTTCCGCTCTCCGGGCGGACGCTCTAACCACTGTACCACGGAGGCGGTCAGAGCGAAGAGTAATGTGGGTGGGTCTAAATATGAACTTTGAGACATATGCCATCACTTTCGTGAACAGAGAGTATAAAGTACGTATGTACGTATGTACGTATGTATGTATGTATGTATGACCGCCGCCATACAGCTGGGATATTGCTGAGTGCGGCGTAAAACTAAACTCACTCACTCACTCACTCACTCAGCGAGCCTGACCACCCGATCCCGTTAGGGACTGTGAGACAGTGGTCTGTAAGTAATAGCTTCTGCACTAAACATCACCCACATCTATCTTCGCATTTGGGAAACGGCGACACGCATCAACCAAGTCAGGTAATCTGCACGCTGGAAATTGACTGTGCATTTATTTAACCTTTCCAACATATTATACGTTTACCTTAAAATTTCCTTGTATAAAATGGGCCAAAATTATTAAAGTTAGAATCCGAACGGCAATGGAAGGTTGAACAGTACAAGTTCTTCATTAAATGTATTTCTAGACTAACATCTTGTCTATGAAACAAACATGTTTTACAGAAAGAAAGTTTAAATTAACTTAATAAAATATAGCAGTAAAGACGAGCCAAGAGCCGTTCATTTTCAGACTGCAACTTTAAAAATATAGATTTGC